GTGTTCTTCACGGGTAGAAAGAAAGGGATAGAAAACTAAGGGAAAGAGAAAGGAAGGGGAGAAGCATCTGGGAAAAAAATGAGATTTTTTTACCTTTTATACTTGCTCAAGACGACGTCGTTTTGGCATTAAATTAGCCCAGAGGATCTGCGTGTTTTTATTTGGTTCAACCCGACTTAAACGCTGACCCATGTCTGACCCGATTGCCAGCCAACCTCTGCAGCCGAGCTGAGCAGAGTCGTTTCCTGTCGAGTCACACCTTTGAGCCATGCTTTGTCTTTCAAGCCAAGCCAATCTTTCTAGCCAAGCTGAGCCGCCTTAAGTTTTTTTTCTTTTTCTATTTATTTATTTTTTATTATTATTATTATTATTATCTAAATTAGAATTATTTTGTATTCTTTATTTTATTTTTTTTATTTTCCTTAAAATTAAAGTTTCAAAAATATATATATTTTTAAGGGAAAGTTAAAAATATCAATTTTTTTGAAAATAAAAAAAGTTTTAAAAAATATTTTTACAAAAAGTTGAAAGTATCAATTTCTCTTGAAAATAAAAAGGTTTAAAAAATATATTTTTAGGGAAAAGTTGAAAGTATCAATTTTTCTTAAAATTAAAATTTCAAAAAAAAAAAATTGAGAAAAAGTTGAAAGTATCAATTTTTTTTAAAAGTAAAATTTCTAAAACAAATTTTTTTTTCAAAAAGTATTTTAGAGAAAAGTTGAAAGTATCAATTTTTCTTGAAAGTAAAATTTTTAAAATAATTTTTGTCAAAAAGTATTTTGAGAAAAAGTTGAAAGTATCAATTTTTCTTGAAATTAAAATTTCACCAAAAAAATCATTTTAAGAAAAAGTTGGAAGTACCAATTTTTCTTAAAAATAAAAATTATCAAAAAAAATATTTTAAGGAAAAGTTGAAAGTATCAATTTTTTTGTACAAAAGCAATGAGTTTTTGTATGAAAAAAAAATATTTATATCAAAAAGTTGAATCATTATTCCTTTTTATTTTATTCTTTTTCTTTCTTTCTTAAATTTTTTTTAATGTTTAATAATCTGACGACAGAGTCTCTGTAAGTGAAATAGTAGTTTTCTTGTATACTCTTGAGGTGAAGGAATTTCTTTAATTTTTTACCAAAAGTATTGAAGTTAATTAAGAATCATTTTTAATAATTAATTACTTAGTAAAATTTTTAAGGCTTATCGGATAACACAAAATCAAGCTGATATTATTTTTCGATGAACGTTGTGATGGTGCCATAACCTTCTTCACACGTAATCGATTTTTCAAATCATGTTCTAGTTAATAGACCTGAACTTATTTTTTTAGGGACCCTTAGTCAAGCTTAAGTGTTTTTTGAAGGGATAGATTCTTTAAATAGTCAATCGCACTTAAACAAAAAAATTTGATAATGACTCTTTAAATCAATATCAAATAATAGATTCTCAAATTTAGATGTTATGACACACCTTAAACACCACCTCACGTACAGTTTCACATGTAGATTCATGGAGACATCTGTTTCTGTTCAACCATAGCATCCATAGTGCAAACATGCACGTTTCCAACTTTATTCTTACTTTGCCTTAATCAAGAAAACAGTCCAAAATTCTGGGGCCATGGTCCATGTTTCCAGCCATCCATGCTCCCAGTTGCGATTCTTTCCCGTACCCAACCGCTGAACCTGCATTAAAAAATTATTTGATAGCAAGATTCCTCCACAGTCCCACACACACAGCAAGAGTCCTGTTATTTATATGAATTTTTTATATTAGAATCAGGTTTGAGGTTGTTTGAATTCGAATCTGAATTTTGAAATATATTATAATTTAATTTAATCACTAAATTGTTATGTAATTTTTTTTTAATATGCTACAATTGAGAACAAATGTAACAAAGGATTTTTTAAATCAATGATTAGAGTTTTAGAAAATATAAACTTTTTAAATAAGTCTTTATTTTTTTTTTGTTTGATAATTTTAGTGACCATAAAAAAGGTTTGGTAGGGATATTAAATTATGTTATCTAATAGTATCTTAACAGGGGCCGGGCCCTCAACTGAGAATGCTTTCATAAGTTATAACAGCTTGGAGAAACTAAATTCCGTGGCCCATAAATGTGGTGTCATGTTTCGTAACGTATATAAACTCTTACATCCAACTGCATGGTTTGGGCCTTTATGTAAGATAACAAGGCTGAATAAAAAAACAAAAAAAAGGAACAACATTTTACTTCAGAAAAAAAACTCCTTTTTGTTTGGGAATTGGGATAGTGGGTTAAAGACAAGACTGATGATTGAACGCCCAAATTTTAAAAAAAAAAAATCTTTATAATCTTATGTAAAAAGAATCTCACAGGGGTTTTGAAAATGCCAGTAGTCTTTTCTTCTTATAGTTTATTTTTTGGTTATTTTATTTTTGACTCTGAGGATAAAGTAATTTTATTGACACCTGTTGTTTTTATTGTTTTTATTTTTGACTCGTGTTTGTGTTGTCTATTTTTAAAATTTTTTTTGTTGTGCGTGTCTGTGCTTGTGGCAAACCTCCTCTGACAGTTTTTTTTTTTTTTTTTAGTTTTTTCTTAAGCTGTTTTTTGGTATATTTTTTTTATCTTTTCATTGAATGTAGATTTCTGTTTTCTTTTCAGTTTCAGTGTCATTATTTTCGTTTTATGCATTGTAATTTTTCTATTGAAGTTTCAATGTTGAATGGATCTTTTGTAAGGTTAATTGTCCAACTTGCCTGTATAACGGATTTTAATTTGACTCAATTTTATAGGATCGATTTTTTTTTTTAAATTGAATTTTGAGTCAAATCGAATAATAATAAAAAAATCAAGTCGAGTTTTAAATAAATTTGATCCAACTTGATATATATAAATTATTTAATTATTAATTATTTATTTAATTTTATATTTGTATATAAAAATAATATTTTATTATTTTTAAGTCTAATCATTGGTATGATTTATATAATATCAAATCAGGTTAAGTTTGAATATGAAAAAATTAAAAAAATTTGTCGGGTCGATTTCGAGTATTATGTGTATAAAGTCATATCAGGTTTGAGACGAGCAAATACTTGCCTTGACCCGAGCCGTTATTATCCTTAGTTTTTGGGTTTTATAATTAGAAGTTTTGCATGTTATTATGGTTGTGTTTTTTATAATATTTTATTTTTACATGTCATCTTTGATGAAAATAAGTTTTTATTGTTTTTATTAGTTCTGTTTTTTAGTTTGGACATTTTTTGTATGAATTTAAATAATTGAGAAACTGATTATTAGAATTTGATGTTATTAAGAATTATACAAAGTTATCGTAGGAAGTATACAAGTTTGATATATTTTTATTATGTGATGTTATTAAGTATTGTAGGTGTACTTAAAATGTTTGATTTATTATCCTTTTTGTAATGTGATTTATGTGAATGATTAATCGATAATAGTTATTTATAATCAAAAAATAAAGTTCAATAAGTTAAAAATGGCTTAGGAAAGTTGTTGTATTCATATAATTAGTAAACAAATATATATTAAAATAATTATGAGTTACAAATTAGCATTTCATGAATTTACAAGATTTATACCTGTCAATTATAGAACTACAAGAATCTAAAATTATAAAAGAGAATTGAAGGCTTCTATCTAAGTTCCAGTTTCTCTTATGTGGATTACAATATATTCCTTTGCTTGAGGACAATATTTCAAATAAATGTTAAGATGTTGACCTTTTTTTTTTTTTTTGATTCCTTTCAATGAAATATGTCATGTTGCATTAAATTACTTATGAATGTATGCATGTAATCTAGGTATATTTTGGTCTAAACACGGTTGTTTTTTTAGAAAATTACAATTATAAAGTTAATACTTAAGGTTATAATAGATGCATTTATACAAGAGGTAGCTGATTTTTTGGAGAAATTATGAACTTTGTATGATATATATCCTATAACATTCTATGATGAAAGAATAAAGTTTGTTCTAAAATTTTGTTGGAGGATTTGAACAATGCTTTCATTGCTGTTATAAATATTAGCATTATGCATTTGTTGTTTTACGATATTTGTAAAATGAAAAGTATTTTTTTTATTGAGTATTTGCTAGATAATTTGGCAATAAATTACCAACCCATTGTGAGATAATTTGATTTAATAAATAATTTATAAAAAAAATAACAGCCAATTGTGAGATAACTTGATAAAAAATATAAAAGAATTGATAGTTTCTTGTAACAGTATATTATTATTATCTAATAATGTTGAAATGTGTAATGATTGTATTAACTATGAAAAATTTTGAAGTACTTATAGATGAATTTTTTTTTCCTAAAAAAAAATTATTTTCATTTTACTTCGTAGAAGATATAAATTACTACCATGTGATTTTCTTTTACTTTTTTATTATTAACTTTTCATAATAGGGATTTATATCTATTTTTTACATTAACTTAAGATTTGAGGTTATTTGAATTCGAATTTAATTCTTAAAATATGTTATAAATTTTTTAATCACTCAATTGGTTATGTGAATTTTTTTTTAAATATGCTACGATTGAGAACAAATGTAACAAATGATTTTTAATTCAATGATTGGAGTTTTAGAAAATATGAACATTTCAAATAAGACTCCTTTTTTTTTTGTTTGATAAATTTGGTGGGGATCTTAAATTATGTTATTATCTAACAGTATCTTAACCAGGGGCCGCTCCCCTCAACTGAGAAAGCTTTCGCAAATCTTATAACAGCTTGGAGAAACTAAAGCCCATGGCCCATAAAAGCGGTGTCATTTTGAGTCACGCATATAAAATTCTTACATCCAATCTCATGGTTTGGGCTTTTATGTAACATAACAAGCCTGAATAAAAAACAAACTTTCTTGTTGCTGGGTTGAAGACAAAACTGATGATTGAACGTCCACAAAACAAAAAAAAAAAGAAAAAAGAACTTGGAAATAAAAATACTAAAAAATTAATTGCCTCGACATTGTTGCTTTTGGTAAGTCAAACTTTCCTTAATATTTTGAAATAAAAACAAGTTGTAATATTTTGAAATAAAAACAAGTAGTAATGTTTGATTTTTATCAGTCGAAGCCTGTTTTTTCGTTTCTTGTGTTTTTGTTTGGTCTGTAAGATCTGCCAATTTTGAAGTTGCTGTTTTCAAGTGATTAAACTGCTGTTAGGGGAGGCCACCATGGATATTGCCAATCAGTTGCAGAGACAGTTTATGGACTACTCTACATCACTGCATCGTGAGGTCAATATCTTTTCTTTTATGTTTTTGCTTTATTGGTTATATTTTTCCCAAAGATTTGATATTTTAATAAAATCTACAGATGGGTTTTTGTATTTTTAAGCCTATGGTTGCCTCTATTGAAAATATTTCTGGGAAATAAATCTTTTTTGATAAGGAAAAATATTATAAGCCATATCTTGTAGGTCTTATCAGATTTGTTTTCCCTGAGAAAATAAATCTGTTCACTTGAAAAAGGAACATTTTGGGTTTTCATTCTTATTTTCGGTCCTATCGTTTTGTTAACTGATTTTTTTTCTTCTTTTTGGATGGTTTTTGGAGGTTTTCTGATGATGGGTTCTTATTGGTTTTGAGCAGGGATTTGTGGATGATCAGTTCACTCAGCTCCAAAAACTGCAAGATGAAAACAGCCCTGATTTTGTGGTTGAGGTTGCCTCTCTTTTCTTTGAAGATTGTGAGAAGCTTATTAACAATATGGCCAGAGCTCTGTGAGTGTTTTACTGTTTTGTCTTATTCTCTTGTTCCTTTCTTCACTTTCTTTGATTTTAACTTCCCTTTTTTGGATTTTAAAGAAAGAATTAGCTTTGTTTGTTAAATAAACTGATACTAGTTAGTAATTGGGATCTTTTTCCCTATTTCTTCAGAGAGCAACAACAAGGTGTGGATTTCAAGCAAGTAGACGCTAGCGTCCATCAGCTAAAGGGTAGTAGTTCCAGGTATTCATGGACATCTCTCCTTGAATTTTCTAATTGACTTGCTACCATTTAATTGGGATATTCAATCTCAAGTATTCCAAGGAACTAATGATCATTGTAGAATATCATAATGATGTCCTGGAAACTCAATCACATTGCTGTTGTTTCGTTCTGTGTCTATGGTGTAGCATAGGTGCAATGAGAGTTAAAAATGTATGCATTGCCTTCCGAAGTTTTTGTGAGGCTCAAAACCGTGAAGGGTGAGTTTTGCTTCCCACTTATATAATATTTTGTTGTGATTTTCTTTTTGTAATTGCATGATTGCTGAATTAACTCAATTAACCACCCTCTGAACGTGAATTTTCTCAAGAAAATCCTTAATTAATGTATTCATCTGTTACTGTAGCACTATGCTGCTTTGAGTTGCTGCACTCTTCAACTCAGCTCAAGAAAATAGAATGACAAGTTAATATTTAGTCATCTAAAGATAAGTATACTCATGTTAAGCTTGTTTATTTACATCAATTTAACAGTTAAATGGAAAGATTAGATAGAAGTTGGCATTAGGTTCCAAAGTCTGTACATGCAATCATAACCTGGGTAATTGAAAAGAAAAAAAAAAGCATGGGTGTTAGCAAGTTTAGATATAAGTTACTTGAGAAGGAGCACCATTTTGATGAAAAGCTTGAGCTTCCATACTTGGATAAGAGAAAGCAAAATCATTCCACCACTACTATCTGGTGCAAAGAGCATTTCCATTTTGCTTAACCAAGTAGTCACTTCCATCAATCGTGACATTTGGCTAATATCATAATTTAGTCCTTTTAGATTGTTGGTCCGGCTAGATGTTGATGCAGGAAACTCTGCAAGTGAGTTTGCATGCATTTGACAAGTCTTCGTGATTGTTTAATGGATTAAAATTAAATTAAGAAGTTTTCTGGTACTTCAATAATTAAACGCCCAATTTTGCTGGTTGTCACACCTTATCCCTTATGATATGAACCAAAGATGATACCTTTTATGTATCTTGCAAGATGTGGCTTTTAATTTCTTGTTTCCCACTCCCTTAAATCTTACAATGAAGGGAGTGAGGAGTTGTACAAGAATCTGATTAACTTGATAATGTTGGGACAGATGTTTGAGATGCCTGCAACAGGTGACTCATGAATACTCCCTACTGAAGAACAAACTTCAAACCTTATTCAGGGTAAGTGTAAGAAACTGTGGCTAATAGAAAGTATTTTCTTCCTGCATGGTTTTGATAATCTAAGGGACTTTCGTTCTTCTTAATGTTAGTATTCCACTGGGAAAATGAGCATATGTACTCATTTGTTCCAAGTTGAGTTTTTCAGTTTCAACATCCAACAATACTTTTAACTGGAGTTGTTCCTGTTCGGTTTTTCAGCTGGAGAAACAAATCCTTGCTGCTGGTGGATCCATTCCAATAGTGGAATAAATAACATTCATATCATCCTTGTGGTGGAACAAAGGGGGAGTAAAAAGTTGGCATTGTAGATACTTCTTTCTAATGAGGTTTTGTAGTTTAAATTGTAACCAAGTTAAACTATTGAAGGATTTTGCTTAGATTTGTGTATAAAGCGTGGATGAATTAGAATAATGCTTTGAATAAATATTTTTAGCTTTCTGCAGCATAAGCATATATGTGGTAGTTTTCTTTGTTGTTCAATGTTGAAAATTTCATGTTAATTTGACCAATCAATGAAGGGTGTTTTCTATTCAGTATTTTTTTACTATTATTATTGAAGCCTATGGAAAAACTAAGAAATAAATCAGTGTGAAAACTGAATGTATATTGAAAAACTGCTTATTAAGAATTATATAAGAATCTTAAGTTTATATACAACTAACTAGAGGTTAAACTAGGAAATTAAATTTTTCTAAAAAACTAATCCTATAATTGAGGAATTGTCTATTCTAATTTTAGGGATACAAATATTTAATTTTAGAGATACAAATATAAATATACAGATTACAAGATTACAATCAGTTGTAAATAAGTGTTTTCTCACACTTTTCCTCAAGCTGGTGAATAGATGTTTTCCATTCTCAACTTGAAAATAATTTCTTGAAATGTTGCACTACTGAGACCTTTAGTCAACACATCTGTAAGTTGACCCTTGGTTGATATATAAGGTGTACAAATTAACTCACTGTTTAGTTTTTTCTTTATGAAATGTCGGTCTACTTCAATGTGTTTTGTTCTATCATGTTGCACAGAATTGTGTGCAATGTTTATTGCAGACTTGTTATCACAGTAGAGTCTTATTGGTCCATTTCATTTGATCTTCAAGTTTTCTAGGATAATCTTTAACCATAGTAGTTCACAAATTCCTTAAGCCATTGCTCTGAACACTGCTTTAGCACTTGATCTTGTCATCACATTCTGTTTTTTACTCCTCCAAGTCACAAGATTATCACCTAAAAAAGTGCAGTAGCTTGAGGTGGATCTTTTATCAATTACTGAACCTGTATAATCCGCATCTGTATATGCTTCTAGAACTAACCTTGAATTTCTTTTGAATAAGATACCTCTCCCAGGATTGGTTTTCAAATAGTACAATATACGGTAGACAGCCTGTAAGTGCATTTCTTTAGGACTATGCATAAATTGACTTACCACACTCACAGCATATGCTATATCAGGTCTAGTATGTGAGAGATAAATGAGTCTTCCAACTAATCTTTGGTACATTTCTCTATTTACAACAATATTTTCATTAGCTTCTCCAATTTTATGATTAAGATCTATTGGGGTATTTGCAGGTTTACATGCAAGCTTCTCAGTTTTCTTCAGAAGATCCATCACATATTTCTGTTGTGAGATGAAAATATCATGCCGTGAGTGAGCTACTTCAATTCCTAGGAAGTACTTCAATCTCTCTAGCTTTTTTATTTCAAATTCTCTAGCCAAACACTGTTTTAAAGATTCTTTCTCTTTTTCATTATCTTCAGTTACAATTATATCATCAACATACACTAATAGAACTGTGACTCTCCCTGAATCAGAGTGCTTGATAAACAATGTGTGATCTCCTTGACTTTGTTTATATCCCATTGTTAGCATTGCTTTGGTAAATCTCCTAAACTAAGCTCTAGGAGACTGTTTAAGGCCATATAAAGCTTTTTTTAACCTGCATACTTTGTTTGCTTCTAGATGACCTTCAAATCTCGGTGGAACCTTCATATATATTTCTTCTTCCAAATCACCATATAGAAAAGCATTCTTTACATTAAATTGTTAAAGCTGTCAATTATAATTTGCAGCCAATGATAACAAAATTTTAACTGTATTCATCTTGGCAACTGGAGCAAAGGTCTGTTGGTAATCCACTCCATAGGTTTGAGTGTAGTCCTTAGCCACTAACCTGGTTTTATATCTTTCAACAGTACCATCTGTCTTGTATTTTATAGTAAAAACTCATTTACACCCCACTGAATTTTTTCCTTTAAGCAACCTTATCAGTTTTCATGTTTGATTTTTCTCTAAGGCCTTTATTTCTATTTTCATGGCTTGCCTCCATTTCTCACTAGATAATACCTCGGATAATGTAGTTGTAACATAAATAATGTTTAGGCTCACAAGAAAATTTTGTGGGATGGTGAGAATTTTTCAAATGACACAAAATTAAAGATTGGGTATAGTGGATGCTTGGTACATTCTCTGGTTCCTTTTCTAATAACAATAGGCAGATCATAATCACTAGTTATAGTTTTAAGAGATTCATGCTCATTTTGAGAAACAGAATAAAAAATTGTAGTTTTTCATTTCCAGAGTTAGGATCAGGTTCTTGGACTGGTACTGGTTCAGGATCTGAAACTTTTTTTCTTGAGTATACCTGTAATTCTTTCATATAATTAAGAACAATATTATCCTTTGTCACATCTTCCGTATTTAGAATGGGTTCAGACTCAAATTCAGTGTTTGACTTGGGCTCAGTAGAAACAGGTTTCGACTCAGAAGAATTAATATGTGTAAATGTTGAAGAAGGGGGCCAATCAAGCAAAATGAAGTCTTTATCCTTATCTTCCATGAATGAAATCTCTCCCTGAAGATGAGGTTGAGTAAAAAATGGTTTATTTTCTTCAAAAGTGACATCTGCAGATACATAAAATTTTTTGGTAGGAGGATAACACTTATATCCATTTTGAGTTGAAAAATATCTTAAAAAATACACTTAATCGTTCTTGGATCTAATTTTTCCTGTTATGACTGTGAACATGAACAAATGATGTACAATCAAATATCTTAGGTGTGAGATTGTTTGTGGTATTGAGGTTGGGATAAAATTGTGAGAGTAGTTTCATAAGAGTTTAAATCCCAAAATCGTTGAAGGTAACCTATTTATAATATGTATGTTAGTGAGAACAGCTTCCCCCTAGTAAAATTTAGGTACATTTGCTTGAAAAAGAAAAGCTCGGGTTATGGCTAGTAAATGGTTTTTTTTTTTCTGTCACTCCATTCTGCTGTGAAATATTAACACAAGATGACTCATAGATAATCTCTTCTTTTTGAAAATAGGTAGATAGACTCTGGTTGAAGTAGTCTCTTGCATTATCAGACTTAAATCTCTTGATTCTCTCTCCAAATTGATTTTGGATCATGTTTTGAAAACTTAAAAATATACTATTCACATCTGATTTGGATTTAAGTAAAAAAATTCAAGAGACCCTGGTACAATCATCTATGAATGAAACAAATCATCTCGCATCAAAAATATTAGGAATTGTAGAGGGACCTTAAATGTCACTATGAATCAAGTAAAAAAGAGTAAAACTTTTTTTGTTACTGATTGGAAAAGACACACGTCTATGCTTTACAAGTTCGCAACATAATGAAAATCTTCGACATTTAATCATTTGAACAAGGAAGGAAACATGTTTCTCAAGGTTCCAAAAGAAGGATGTCCAAGATAAAAATGGTAAAGTTAGATTTTATCTTTATTGACAGATTTTTCAAAAAGAAATGACAAAGGTAAACTATTTTTGATACTACTTGTATTATCTGATGTCTCAAGATAATATAGTCCATCCTTCTCCTTAGTAAGTCCAATCATCTTCCCTAAATTCTGGTCTTGAAATTCACAATAAGAAGGATAAAAAGTTACTTTGCAATTTATATCTCTGGTAAGTTTTTGTATACATATCAGATTAGTAGACAATCCAAGAATATGAAGAATATTTTTGAGAACAAACGAGAGATTAACTTGAACATTTTCTAATCCTGTCATTGTGGTAAGTGAACCATCTGCAATAGCAATTTTCTTATTACTAGGACACAGGTTATATGTACTAAACTTTTGTGAGGAATGTGTCATGTGGTCTGTGGCTCCTGAGTCAATGATCCAAGAACTCGTAATAGGTTTAGCCGAGACATTTAATCCATGAGAATTGAAAGCTTTACCTGAACTAGAAACTTTACCCAAAGAACATACTACAGTACGTTTTTCAAGGATTTTCAATAAGTTTCTCAGCTTTTCAATCTCTTCCTTGTCGAACTCTCCTTGTTTCTGAGACATCTGTAGTACTCCAGTGATTTTTTCAGTTAACATTTCCTCAAATTGGATGGTAGTGATATCTTTCTTTGAAAGGGTTCGGTAATGAAGGCCTAAATAAGATTCGACAATGAAGGCTGAAAATTTTGCTTCCCAAGAAGAGCCTAAAGTTCTGATACCATGTGAAAAAACTAAAAAATAAATTAGTGTGAAAACTGAATGTATATTGAAAAACTGTTTATTAAGAATTATACAAGAATCTTAGGTTTATATACAATTAACTAGGGGTTAAATTAAGAAACTAAATCTTTCTAAAAAATTAATCCTATAATTGAGGGATTGTCTATCATAATTTTAAGGATACAAATACTTAATTCTAGAGATATAAATATAAATATACAGATTATAAAATTATAATCAGCTATAAATAAGTGTTTTCTCACGAAGCTATCTTTTACTAAATTCAGTTGTATGGATGACTGCAGATTCCCGATGTTTAGGTAGGATAGTGTAGAATAATGGTAGTAGGACCAAAATTTCGTTTGTAGGGCACCCTTCGACTGAAAGTTGGTGAACTTGTTAGCAATGTGCCAGTATCCTTTGATATTCAGGCCATGGTGGAACGGAGCTAAATCTTCAGTCAACTCATGAGAAGTGAATGAAGATGAAGCAGGAAATGATGGCAATTGGCTGGGTTCTTATGCACTTAGGTGATTGGAACGTGGTCTATTAATTTCTGAAGAAAATGTGGTGTCTAGATTCCAGAGGCAGTACAAGCAGTTGAAGTGTACAACTCACTACTTTACTAAGGATGGTCCCATGTAACAGTCTAATCTGATTTTTCCCATTGATCAATCTCTTGGTACTTTCTTGTTACGGGATCATCGCTAATCAGTTCAGCTTGCCTTTGCAGCTTGCCTTTGCCTGCAGAACTATACGAGCTGAAATAATTTCAGGCCATGGCCTGATGTGAGTGATACACTAATTATCATCCCTTTTCTTTTCAATACATCTATTTTCGTTGTTTATGGAGTTGGGGTTTGTTTATTGGTTCTTCCTATTAATGCATTCACTTGGCAGCTGAATACAGCCTTTTTGGCCCCTTTAGTTTTTAAGTTAGAATAGAAATGAGAGTTTCGGACTTAGAAACTTAACCTCCATTGGAATCTATTCCAACAAATAAAGAGAAAATGAAAAACCAACACAGGT